AGGCCAGTGGCTCCCCAAGCAAAGGAAAAAGGGCAGGTAATGTAGAAAAGGTCAGCATCAAAAGTTCCTATCCATGTTGTTGATGTGAATGTGGGATTCAAATTGCTGAGAATGTCCAGTTCTGTCTGACAGGTGTCCAAGCTCAGTTGTAGACAGCTCACAGGAAAGCTTTGATTATGAGTGTGAGGCAGGTTTTCAGTAAGCTGACATTTTCTTCCACTTTGTCAATAGGATGTGATTTGTAGCTGCTGTATTTTTAACTTTAGAGCTGTGTATGAGCTCTGGGTCCTTATTTTTCTCCATGTTTGGTTCTGCTACTCAAAGACCAGACAGGTGTGGTCTTGTAGGACTCCTCCCAAGCATCTCTTTATACTCTTTTTGGGTTGTCCCCTTGCCATGCGCTCATCTCTGACCCAGCCTCCTCTACCAGCCAGTGCCTGTGTTCACAGGTGTTCTGCCATATGTTTGATTTTTCTCTGCACTTACATGTTCAATAAATTGTAAACTTAAAAAGAGTCAGTTTTTTAAATTCCACAGCAGTGATTGAATAATCCTGGCATCAGAGCTAGATACTCATGATACTTTCATTCAGTATGATGTGCTCCAATTTACCTAGTTGCAAATCACCCAAAGTTACTCTGTTTATACTTTTTTCTTCCACCTTTGCTACCGTGGTTATGAGAAATACAGTACTAGTTTAGACCATCACAAAGAATCTATAACTATCTCTTGATGCTTGTAGCTCACTCATATATTTTCTCCCTTAAATATGGTTCTTAATTTTAAATTACCATTGTTTCTAAGTGTTCTTCTTTTAACTATAATTAATTACTTAGATTTCATTATACCTAGTGACCTAGTGATGCTAGAATATACATAAATCAAAACTGAATGTAAATGAGTTGTTTATTAGTCATAATCATTCTCAAGCAAATGTTTATGTTTGCAAATGGACTCTTTAATTTATTGTTATTTTTCATAGGCTTAATGAGGTGGTAAACATTACTCACAAAGCCCTACAAATTGACAAATAAGCCTCCTATAAACAAGGTACTACTGAAGAATTGTTTATAAAGGAAGAACTATATCTTTGAAATAACAAGGGGGAAGTGATGTGAGCTACTTGCTTGGAATGTCTCTTCTCTTTTCATCTTATTGTAAAGTCTCATTAATGGAAAGATCATGGACGATGATTCATGTCTAGGGCAGATGATTCCAGTATGGGCAATTACATATCTCTTCCTCTGTCCATTTTCTCATCTGAGAAATGGGAATAATAATAGAACTCTGCTATAATATGAATACTGTATATGCAAAATGCTCAGAATTGGAGCTGACATAGATTAATGTAATAGTGCCAGGAGACTTTTGTCTTACACATATCCATAATCCAAATATCTTCCATCTGTAAGACCACTGTCCTCTCCGTATTTCATGTACTTCCCAGATACCACTTTTATTGCATGGTCAGTGGAAAATTGAGATTTTGCTGTCAGTTCTTGAGAGTTTCCTTGGATTTTCCTTATGTCTCTTGCCTGAGTTCTAACCGTGATATTGGAGGTGAACTCAGGCATCCACTTCTTTTGTCGCCAGTTACCTAATAGATTTCTGGAGGCACTGTCCTCTCTTGAAAGAGAACTGCTTATCCTAGCTTATGAAACCAGGGGTGACTGGAATTACCATTCCAAAGTTCATGGAAAAAAAGAATATATTAAAAAACTCAAAAGATATATCACTCTCTTTTTTTGATGTTTTCCTATCTCAAGATTCTTCCTTACTTTTTTTTTTTTTGTACCAAGAATCGACCTCACAACCTCATGCTTGCCAGGCAGGCACTGTGCCGCTGAGCTGTATTCCAAGCCTTCTTCCTTACTTTTTCCTCGTAAAGTCATATAATTGTTCTTCATTTCTATACAGTGATAGTTATTTTCCCCTCTGGAAAAGTCTTACCTTGATGCTAAGTGTTTGTTTTTGCCCTAGAATCCATTTTTCTTAACCTCCATCTGAGCAACTGCACGAAAATCAAACAGTTCTTTTACTCAGGAATTATTTGACCTGCAATCTCACCATAAAGGCAGAGTGTGTGAGTGCATGCTGTGTATTTATAGTATGCACATGTGTATTTATATGTATGCATAAGGGAAAAGCATTGATCCATACTGCAGCTTTAATCCCCTTTAGGGTTTTTCAATGTGAAGAGAAGGCATTGGTTTCATTTTCTACTGTCTTCAATCTTTATTTAGTCTCTTGAGATAATATTTATGAACACATATTCACATATACATTCTAAGAAATAAACAATAATTTTCAGAGTATGTATAGTATAATTGTTGTCTCCCCCCAAAAGAAGATAGCTTTTAATATATATGCAGAACTTTTTCAATTACATTTTTTATGCTTGTGTTTTTATGTTCCTCACAGGGACTTCAACAGGGACTTTGCTAGACCTTAAACAGGGATAATTATAGCATTCCCTCTATTTAATAGTGTCATATCTTCTTTGACTTTAATGACACATTCTGACAGGAAACAAGTACCCATCAAATGGGACAACTGAGGAAGATTTACTGTAGGAGGAGCAATTTACAAAGGGTTGGCACAGTTAATGTAAGATATCAAGGGATGATGAGTTAGTACCTGGGCTGGTAAAAGGAGTTGCGAAGTTGCTAGAAAAAGGTATAATCAGTGAAACCCAAAAACAACAGCTGGAGGCAAGTACCAGTACAAGTACCAGTCTATGGAACAGGCAAGTAACCGTCCTTGGTAGAAATGGAAACCTAGCTTGAGCTGGACTAGAGGATGGAATCTAGTTAAATGAACACTTTGATCTCTCTCTTGCCCTCTTTTTCTCCTTCCATTGTATGCCATCTTCTCCTGTCAGAGAGACCCAAAAGGAGTCATGGGGCAAGGAGATCACTGACTCAGTCCTTGCGTGGTTGGTTCCTGAGGCATAGAACAGACTAAAGATGAAAAAGAGAAGATGTAGGGAGCAAATGGAAAAGATCCTGTGTTATCTCTCTAGTTCAAGATCATGAAATGTGCAAATATGTTGTTCATCTTTCCTTCTCAAGATCTCATTAAAAGTCATCTTATAAAAGGAATTATAAAAGCTTTACTTCCTTTTTAAAAACAAAAGGAGAGGACCATGATTGGATGGGAGGCCACGTGCACGTATGCCAAACAGGCGTTGGTGGACAAAGACTGAGGAATACAGAAAGTATGACTGTGACCTCACCTAGCGGGAAGGGATAGCAGTGGCAGAAAAGGTCAGTCTACCCCAGAGAATTCTGCAGAATGTGGTGGCTGGTCTGATGAAGCACAAGAACAAAGGGTAGCGCTGAAAAAAATGTATGGACTTTTAAAAGACTTTAAATAATCACTAGAGGTATAAAATAACCATGCAGTTATATAAAATAGCCATGCTACTGCGAAGTACATTCTCACCAATTAGAGCAGAAAGTCAATAGATAATGTCTAAAGTTCATAAATCAAGAAGTAGTGACATAGCATATTATTTATAGATTTGGAGATAACCACAAAAGAACTACATATGAAAGCAGAACAGTTAAAAGTGTTCCTTCTGAGGAAGCAGACAGAGAGTTAAGGGACCTGGGGTTGGGGGCCTTTTGCTTCTCATTGTAACTCTTCTTGTAACAATGATTTTCAAAAAACTATGTACATACACCATTTCAATACACACCCCTTTCCTCCTTTTGTTTTGCTTCCTTAGTTTCCTGCCTTTCTGGAAATTAACTTCTCAACTTGGCTAGGCCCATTACCTGTTCCAAACCTACGAATTCATTCCATTTTCTTCTTCACACTCCCTTTTCTCCATTCTTTTGAGCTCTCATTCTGTGTTTTCCCTCCATCAACCCCTCACATGCATAAGCAAGCAAGGTCTACACACTTATATTCCCTTTGAATGTATGAAATGCATCTTTCTCTGTAAATTCCTTGAACTGCTATAGCTCAGTGCCTTTTAACAAACTATTTCCTTGGCATGAAATGGTTTCATCCTATATCCTCTGACTCAGGATGAAATTGCACTGCTCTATGAGCTATTGTTGGTTTCCAATGTCTAAAAACGTTACTCTTTCTTCTGTATGCACTTAACATCATAACACTGTTTAACAATGTTCGCATTCAACATTGTCTTGTAACATTTGATCCCTTTTCTTTGTGTTTAATCATGCGTTCTGAAGTTCAGAGAATTATGTCTGCATATCTGGTCTGAATGGTACACCTTGCAATTAGTAACTGAAATAGTTGCTAATTGATTTTGTTGGCATTGTTGATTCAGAAAGCATTTAAAGCTTGTGAAATGAATGCTCTGATACATTAAAGTGAACATCTGTTTTCATTGCATTGAGGTGCCTATTAATACTTCTACTTCTTAGTAAAACCTTAAAGTAAACAATATTTTTTTCTTTTCCCAATTTTTGCACGTCTTCCCTAAATTCTAATTATACACATCTTGGTGATAAAGTTATGAGGAATAAGAAACCTAATAAATTAATATAAAATAAGCAGATTACTATTAACTTTTTAGGAGAGTTCTATTTTATAAGGTAGCCAAGAGGAGAAAATACATAGTCAATGAATAAAACTCTAGGACCCTCAGCTGTTGTTTGCAGTTAAGGATGATTTCTGTGGTCCCTCAGATCATGTCATATAACTCTTATGCTGTTAGGTGATTCTAATTAATTAAAAATACATTAGGACAGGGGAAAACCATCTCAGCATATGAGAACACATGTATCCGAAATTCCACTTGTAATATAGTGTATAGTGTTTCCCACAGAAGTAAGATTGAGTATTAACCCCTAGTATCTACTTTTTAGTCTCACCTCCCAGGTTGGCTTTCTATATATGCTTACATTTTCTTGCTTTCTCTTTTTCTCTTTCACTGTCTCTGTCTCTCTCTTTCTCCAACTGCTGCCTTGATTTTGATCTGCACCAATATAAAGGGGCATTATAATTTCATTTTTCCTTTACTTCAGGAAATGCCACAATAAAACAGTCTCGATACAGGATTATCATCCAAGAAGCAGCTAATGGAGGCCAAGAATGTCCAGATACCTTATTTGAAGAGAGAGAGTGTGAAGATGTCTCATTGTGCCCTATATATCGGTAATTAGTAACTTTTTCAAATTATCGTTGGATCTGAGTATAAACCATAACCTCTTTTCTTTCATAAAACATATGGTTGTTTAGTGAAACATAAGAAGAAGTAATATTGTATACCTTCAAATACTTCAGCATTTTCCCCTTCCAACTAAATGTACCAAAAAGTTAAATATGTGAATGTCTAGATAACAGGGAAAAGTAAAACAGACAATTTTGACAATATGCTGCTGGACTTCTGCCATATCTATAATCACTATTCAGGATCATGACACAAGGAGATTCAGAATGAAGTCTTTAAAGTGGGGTGAGGGTCTGCACACACACATACACACACACACCCAGGAGATGAGATCCTTAGCCTATTTCCACTTTAAAATTTTTAATAAAGAATTAAGGATAAATTTGTAATTCCTTAATAAATATTTATTCTAGTTGAAAATATTGGGTTGTCAATTTTTATTATATACATAGTTTCAGAAAGTACCAGTTAGAAAAAATCTTTATCCTATGGATAAAAATAACTTTATAAGAGAAAATATGAGTAACTCTTAAGCTATGTGTGCCCTCTTGGTCTTCCCTCTTGGCAAATTGGAAATTATTATTTGTACAAACAGTATCTGACGTTGCTCTGTTGAGTGAGAACCTTGTATTCTTTTAACATTTGCCTGTTTTCAATTTGATGGAAACATTGCTTAAGTGCAGTTGAATTAAATTCAATCACTTTTCAGTTTTACTGATTTGAAAAAATAGCTCATGATCTTAAAAATCACATAATTTTATCAGCACACTTAAAAACGTCTTTAGTAAAAAATGCCTAATGAAGAAATTATTTTAAAACTGTGAAACTCAAGAGCTAAGTTATTTAGGAAAATGGAAGTGCTTTTCGTTTTCAGGATAGACTCTTCACTTTAGACAAAGTTTGAGTCATTGAAGAAGTCCAATGACTATGGATTTTAAGATACTTTACTCCCATTGTTTCTGATGACCAACTTGGGGAGGGTGTAACAGACATTGGGATCATGCCCAGACTACCATTTTTCCTTCAGTAACCACAGGGCATTGTAGGAATGCTTTCAATAGTTATCCTCATGTACCATTTATAAATATTGAAACTTCTGAGTCAGCAAAAGAACACTCAAGGAAAGGAAGCAAAGAAAAAATGAACCAAATCAAATATTACTAGACATTGTTATAAACCCAGGACTATTATAATTATATAAAATCCTAGAAACTCTTAGTGGGCCTTTTCATTGTCCACTCTCTTTATTATTCAGCTGTACTTCAATGTAAACGCTTAATGTTTGAGCTAGTTTCTATCATTGACATCTCACCATTTTCCCCAGAAATCACTTCTCCTGTGTATTAACTAGATGATTACATCAGGTCTCCTGATGTGTAGTTCAAAATATGTCCAAGTTGACATAATTCTCTGTTTTTTAGTAAATTATTTTTCAATTTTGAGCAATATGGTTCCAAGGTAGATTTTGCTTTCCCCGACATTGATATGTTGGGAAGGAAATTATCCTGAGAAGGAAGTTAAGGTAGATTGTTCTCATTATCTTATTCTTTTTAACTCTACTAGGGTTACATATGCACATGTTTACCACATTAAAATAGAATAAAAATGCTTGTTTTTTTCCTATGAGATTAAGCATGTTTCAATCCATTGAATTAGTAGGAAAAGAAGGAAACAGCATGACAAAATTTATCCCCATATACAATTGGCAGGGCAGTGCAACCAGTCGTCCATGGCTAAATATAGAGAGGCTTAGGTCTGAACACTGGCGCAAACCAACTAGGACCATCTCAGACTATCACTTACCCTCTCTGAACTGAAGATCATTATCCCACAGCTGAGACCTTAACAAGGGAGTTCTGGAAACTCCTTCTATTCCTTTCAGTCTATGCAGCAAGCTAACTTAAATTGAATACCTTGTTCTCATTTCTTTTAGCAAGTCTGTGTAAACTTAAAGGATACGAATGAGTGACTTATCTTAGTTGAAAAATTGGACTTTTAATGTTTTAGCTTGTATTTTAGAATTATAGGGAATGAATCTATGCATGTGTAAATTAAATTTCCAGCTATTTTAAGTTAAGAGGTAATTTCATTAGAAATGACTCTTTTTTAAAAGCTATTTCCTGATTTTCCCCAACTCCTGAGTTATTTGCATTATGGAGATCACTTGAATAAGTTCAATGATGTTTTTACTTTATGTTTTGTTTCATTTTTGGAAGTATCTCTCTTGTCAGAGATATTGGCTTTCAAGAAAAACTATAAAATGCACTGAGTAAAAGAATGATACATGTGGTTAGATCTAGGACTTGGATTTTCTGGAATATCATCCAGGTACAGGCTTAAGAACACAAGTCATAGTTTGCCCTGTGAGTCATAAAAATAGAATCTTATTAATCTAAGAAAAGAAAGACAGTGGAAATCAGATCTCTTTCTTAGAGACTGTTTCCTCAAAGAAGTAAAAATCTTGGTATGTCATCACAGGTGCATCATTCCTCTTCCCTCTGACGAATTTATCAGGTAAGACTCATCCCCAGCATTCCCCTTTACCTTTTATGCTGTGGCCTATTAAGTTATGTGAGTTAATTCTGAGTCCTAGGAAGCACCACATACAAATCTTTTGGCATTGAAGATTCAGAGTTTCCACCTCACGCTTACAGACATCTAAGCTTTAATCCTCTGATGTTACAGTAGGGCATAGGGATTTTCTATTTTTAAAAGATTTTAAGTTCATAATGAGTCACATTGGTCTGTGCTCCTGTTGCCTTTGGTTGGTACTTCTTGATACAAACTAAAGTTTGTCTTCAAACAGTTCCAATTCTATAAAAATGAATTACTGCATTTATCATGAACCCGGATGGAACTGACTGTTGTCAACCGAAGTGCTTGCCGAGGCTTGATTTTATGAAGGTTTCAAGCCCATTTTTGTTGAATTATTGGCTCTATGTTTTTGCATTTGAGAGTATATGTTTCAAGCATTTACTTTGTATGTTTGTCCCAGGAACAAGTTCTAGCTTGCTGTTCTCTGTAATCACAGGTGGAAGCCACAGAAATGGAATCCTTGTGTGCTTGTGCCAGAGTCAGTCAGGCAGGGAATAATGGGCACCAGCGAGGCATGTGGAAAGGGGCTGCAAACAAGAGGTAAGGGGGTTTTGCTATAGCTTCCAATGTGTGTGATTGAAAGTCCTGTTACTATTACAATGTGTCATTTATTATTGTATTTCAGTAAACGTGGTATTATTGGATCGGGTTATTTATGCTTTATCAGTGAATTTACATCTGGTATTAGTTAATACTGATGCCCAAGAAGCATCTTTTAGCTAGGACCAGCCTAGTTCACATCAGGAATAAACTCATATAAACAAATACCTACTCTAAGTCATAGTAGACTCCAGTGCTTGTAAAAGTGCAAGCTGAATATCAGTCGAGGAATAAAGGATATATTAAAATTAGACCCAGAAATATACATGACATTTGGTTATACCTTCTACTTTTTCGATGATGATTAAATGCGTGCAGATAAGGATAGCAAATATTAGTGATCATGGATTCAACATAATCATTATACACATATTTACTATACATTGTATATGAAATATGCATAGAAAGGAACTATTAACATTTCTGGATGGCATTATGAATCGGTCTCTGGAGCTGCCTGGAAATACCTTTTATTGTCAGTATCTAGAAAATGTGACAAACCTCTGAAAATCACTAAAAAAAGCATTAGAATGCTCACTTTCTGTTTCATTGATTATCCAGGTACCAACGATATAAGGCTTCATAGGAAGTTCTTTATTTTAAAGAGTCTAACCACTTTGTCAGTAAATGGATGTGTGCAGAAAAATAATACATTGTGGGACCAATTCCATTATACTAGTTTTTAAAATAGTGTTCCTTTAAAGAATATAGTTAGAATTAAGTTTTTCTTCTTGCTTCAAAAGTTATACTTTAGAAATTACTTTCCTGGAAAAACATTTATAAATGTGCATATCCATTGCCTGGGTAATTTGACTTTGTGTAATTTACAGGAAGGGACAGATTTCTTCATTACATTTTACTTCTATATATCACAAAATAGTATGATGTTTTATTAACAGACTTCTGTCTACTTTCTGCTGGAAAATTGTTATAAAATATTTAATCAGCAATATCTGTCATATGAATGAACCCCTTTAAAAATGGTTCCTTTTACAGTGAACAATTTAACTAAAAAAGGGACCTGGACTTTGGAACTTTGTAATACTAGAATATCCCAATGGCTGGTTTTTTATTACAAAACGATGCAGGAGATTGTGCAGAAATGTTCCTTCTAAAGGATGTAGCATCCTATTGCATAAAAAGCAAATTCTTTTTTCTCTCCTAGGAGTCTTCCTCGGATTCCAATTAAAATGGATTTTTAGCTGGATGGTTTGTAGTTCCTTAGGCTAGTCAAGTAATGTGCCTGGGTTTTTCCTAAATTAGGCGCCAACATTAGAGAATTCCTGGTGGTTAGTTGGTGGCAATTTGCACTTTTAAAGTAGTAATTTGCACTTAAAAGTTGTCAATTTTAAGACCAGGGATGAAAGACATTTCTACTCAGCATCTTTTCTTTAAAATTACTTCAAAACCATCGAAGAAAACAAGAGACAGTAACAGATACGAAATCTTAATAAAGTTTTCCTCACCAAATATTCCAAAGAACAAGAGGCCCAACAAGCTTAACTTCATATCAGTTTGGCGCCATCTGTAATCTAAATCACAACATGTGGATTCAGAAACTGAGTGGAGATAAAATGTGCAGGACAACGTTATGCCTAAGTGTTGACAGAAGTGAGGTTGTGGAGGCTGAAGACAAAGGGGTAGTTTGACCTACAGGACTCAAGAAATGCACCAGAAAGAAGTGGGCACTCGGATTCTTACCACTTTCTGTTCTTGTAGGAATCTGCTGGTTGACCGTGTGGAGACATTGTACAGGAGCATGTCTGCACACATAGTTACAGTAAGAGTGTGGTGCAGATGAGGGGCTAGACTGAAAATCAGGAAGATGAAGGAAAGTCTATTTAGGGGATATGAACTTCTCAGTTCCTTTCTTTTACCTGTGTCAGCATGCTGTCTGGTCAGCTTTTGCACATGCTCCTTCCTGTCCTATTCCCAGGCAGGACGCTGGGTCACATTTTCTGTACAGAATCTGTCCTATTTTTAAATGATGATTTATTTAATGTTCTAAGTGGCTGTTCAAGTGAATGCATTGCAAAATCTCAAAAAGCTAGGTTCAGAAAGGAAAGTTATACTAGGAAACAGGTACAAAAGTATGGACATGTTTATACTATACAATTTTCTACTTTCATTTCTTGATAGTTCTTTACAAATAAGAACTTATTTTTGCATGCATATTTTTGAGTTGAATTGCTGACCACAAAATCGTGCCTGAATCCCTGTAACCTGTCCTTGTGCCTTGACTTGGAAAATTAATATTTGGGGATATAATTAATTTAGAAATCTCATGGTGAGATTATTTTGATGGTCCCATTGGGCCCTGAATCAAATCACAGATGTCCTTCGAAGACACTTAAAAGAGAGAAAACATGTAAGTGATGCATTCAGAATCCAAGGAATATCTGGTTCCCTACTAGAAGGTATAAGGACAGATGGACAGACTGTCCTAGAGCCTTTGGAGGGAGTGTGGCCCTGATGCCATCTTGATTTTATACAATGGGCCTCCAGACTGTGATAGAACAAATTTTCTCTTGTTTTTAACTACCAGTGTATGGCAGTTTGTTATGTTAAGGGAGCCCTAGAAAACTAATGTTGTTGTTATTTTTGACTTTTTGTTTGTTCATTTGTTTTTGAGGCAGGGTCTTGCTAGGTAGCTCAGGCTGGCACTGAACTCACTATGTAGTCGTGGCTGGCCTCAAACTCACGGCAGTCTTCCTCATCAGCCTCCCAAGTGCTAGGATTACAGGCATGCACCATCACCCTGGCTTAAGTTGTTGTATTTCTTTTTTTTTTATTTTAAAGAGAGTAGTAAATGAGAAACAAACAAACAAATAGAACAGTAGCAGCATATCATTATCACAAACATAAACAAATCAAAGCAAGAACATTCAAAGTGATACAGAGTCTCAAGACAAAATAATATGAATCAGTAGTGGTTGTTACACATTACATATCACTATCCTCAACTATATTGATCAGATTACCACATGTAAGAATGAAAGACTGCTCAAACCACTATAGGAAATAAGAAAATAATTCTTTGATAGAACAGTAGAGATAATACAGAGTTTCACTAGGCAAGATGGTAGGAGTTCACCAATGTAATTCCCTTGCATATTGTTACCTTCAAATCAGTTGCTCAGCACCAGACACAAGCATGCACAATCGATCAGAACATAAAAATTTGTAATCATTAAATACTCATAAGTGAAATAAACCAGACTCAGACAGGTGAACATCATATTGTCTCCTTGGTGTAGGAACCTGAAAGACTAGGCAAAACTCAAAACGTACAATAGATGATAGGAAAGGGAAAGAAATTGGTCAAAGGAAGGAATGACTGGGATGAGGGAAAGAAGAAAAAAGAAGGAAGTTGTTATTTTTGTTTAATTTCACTGTGAGGATTTTCTTCTTCTGCTGCTGCTACAGCAAGGAGTCTAACCCATGCAAGTTCTTTAAGACTTGGATTCTTATTGAAGTCTCTTAAAAACGGTTTATCTGTTTTCATCCATTTCTATGGAGGTCCTATCTATCTGGAAAAACATTATTTTACTGTGTGAAGATTGTTCATAGCACAAAGGGAGCATGGATTTAGACAATATAGTCGTAGGAAAAGAAGCTTGTGGTTATAAATTTCAGGATACAATCTTGGTTAGAGAAAAAAGTACAGTTTTTTTTAACATTTAATTTTTTTACTTTAAAGAGAAAAAAATAAAAAGAACATTAAAAACAATACAGAATTTCAAAACAAGATGATAGGAAATAGAAAATGGTTGTTATATTGCATATTGTTACCTTCAAAGTAATTGTTCAGATTACCCGCTATAGGCATGCAAAATTGTTCAAAAAATTAAACATTAAGTTTTAGAATTGCAAGTGACATCGTGGGTACCTTTTGTCTGGGAAGTATACTTCTAACTAGGACACCCTCAGTGTCTGAGGACTAGCCTTCTGGTCACTGCTTCTAGTGCGAGTGCTTTGAAAGAGTGTCTATAGCAGGCTTTTGTATTTTACCCATGTATTATGAAGACATGAAGGTGGGGACTTGAAACTATAGGATTTGTTAGACACCTTCAGGATACAAGTTCTCTTTCTTGCTTACACTATAGGGTACTATACTTTCATCTTGTTTTCGATTTTATAGATTCTTTTCTTTTGAACCAACCCAGCAATACATTTAAGGATATTTACTTTATCCAGTGATTATATCTTTTCATTTGAAAAAATCCTCTAGGATCTATAAGTCATTTTCATGGCAGAAGCAGAAGCACCCTTCGTTTATTTTATTGTGTTATCGGTGCTGACATATTTAATTGGCATACGGTTAAAATTTCATCTATGTAATAGTGTTCTAATTAGGACAGAAGAAAAAAGATATGAGAACATACAGAATTACAGCTATAGCTCAGAATCTACATTGTCTATAAGGAAGTGGCATTTCAGATTCCATGTCCGTGTTCTCCCATCCTCATGAAGAGTCAAGCATTTTTCTGCCCTGGTCCTTATGCTTATTCTGAATAGAGAAAGAATGGTGGTTCAACTTCTATGAAAAATAAAAGAATAAAATTAAGAAACATACATATTCTAATACTGTGAAGATACTGCCCTTTAAAAGGCAAAACTGTCATAATAAAATAAGCAAGAAGTGAAGATACTGACATTCTTAGAAGTGTGAACTAGTCTATGAACTGATTCTTATTTTGCTATCCACAGTGACTACTTTAAAATTGGTTTACTGGACTTCTCATTAGCACTTTTCTTTTGGACAGTATTTTCATCTTACTCCTCAGCTTGTGAAAATCCTCTATCAGCAGAAAGGCTTAACTCTGTGGTGTTGTAATGGATGTGTACTGGCAGTTGACGTTGTCTTGTGTAACATGGCTTGACTTTTGTAAAATAATTGCATTCTTTTCTTTCTTCCTTTTTCCTCTTGTTTTTTTTTA